CCCTTTTGGTAAGAAGTAAATCACTTTCCCTATCTCGTTAAACACATGGAAATTAACCATTTTCCATAGAATTTTTTTTCTTAATCATAAAATTTTCAGTGAAACAAATACATCCTTAAATTACCAGACTAGAGACGCCACTAATTGTTTCCAAAAACTTATGTCAATTGGACACCTAAAAAGCTTAGGCGCTGACAGGGAAAGTCAACTACCTAAATGCACGTATGAAGATATCTGTCTACGAAAACTTAGAGAACTTAGGTATGGGGGTATCACTTGTGGAGCAGATTGGCATTCCATGACGCCCTTTTGGTACTTCATTGGTTAAGTCTTAAATTTTTCGTCATCGAATCTTGAGAACACGTATGATGTTTTGTTTTAAAATACATAATATCGCCAAAACATTTATTTGAGTTAGCTATTGATTAACGTGGCATTTTTTTTTTTGCATGTAGTGGCGTGACTCTATTATCGCTTATAAATAAATTCATTTAATTTAATATTTTAAAAATATGGACAACGTTCATAAGCTTTAGTTTTACCAAACCAATTTTTTTTTTTTATCTACAACTCAAATATTTGATTGTAAAATTGGAAAAATAGATAAAGAGAAAGTGTTTCTAAGTAGGGTTAATACCACGAAAATCCCTAAACTGGTACACCTGTGACAAATTTATCCCAAACTAATTTTTTGATTACAAAAAACCCTAAATTGGTAAACCCGTGACAAATTTACTCTAAACTAATTTTCCTAACTATATATGTTATTGATAATAATAATTATTACTAACTAAAGCGTAATTGATTTTCTTCGAGTAATTTGATTTAGTCTGTAAAAGAATTACACCGAATAGATATATATTCACTTAGTTTGAGATTTAAATGATTTTTCATAACACAGTTTGTTAAAATATTACGAGAATATTAGACGAAATAAATAACTCCACTTTAAAAAAATAAATCTTTTTTTAGACTTGCAATAAAATATTTAAAAGATTACACTGCAATTTAGTTCGAGAGCATATCATTTATATTTAAATTATTTTTATATTTTAATGATTGAACAAACATATTTCAAATCATTTGTATTCGTATTTTATGTTTGCAAGAAGCTCAATACTGTAACGTATTTTTTTTTTTGGCCCCATATTAATCTTCGGCCTTCATAAAGTATGATGCTGTTTCATAACTTCATAAATTAAATTGCGCGAAACTCATCTCTTTTTCTTACATCACATCTTATGTTAATGAATTACTACTGATTAAAAAATACACCTATGGACATGTCCACGCACAAAGTAACTTATTCCAACTTAGCTTGTTGATTCTTATTATTATCATGGGTTAATATCACAAAAAACCCAAAATTGATACACTTGTGACAAATTTACCCCAAATTAATTTTTTGACCACCAAAAACCTTAAATTGGTATACATGTGCCAAATTTACCAAAAACTAATTTTTTAATAACCAAAAATCCCAAACTGATATATCTGTGATAAATTTACCTTTCGTTAGTTTCCGTTAAATTATAGGGAAAATTCCAATTAAGAACCCCAAGTAGGGTCTTTTTCTCAAAAAAGGGACCCCAAGTGGACATAGTATCAAATAAGGGCATGAAGTGTCCAATCAGTCTCAAATAAAGACCCGAAGTGCCCAATTAGTCTCAAGAAAGGGCCTGGGTTTGTCGACCGGTCAAATGATCACCAGCTGGTGAGCACGTTACTGTTCCGGCGACCGGAACAAGGGCAGTCTCGTCTTTTTTTTTTTCCTTTTTCTTTTTTTTCTTTTCCTTTTATGTTTTTTTTTCCTTTCTTCCCTTCGCTAGCATCAGGTGAAGGCTACCCTCGCCTGGGCTGGCGAAGGTCGCCTTCGCCTGGGTTGGGCGAATGAGGGTCGCCGTTGCATGATGCCGACGAGGGTCGCCCTTGCCGCCCAGCCTAGTCGAGGGCGGCCCTCGTTAGGGTCGGGCAAGGGCAGCCCTTGCTAGCATCGGGCAAGGGCGGGCTTTGCTTGGGCTGGGCGGGCGAGGGCGACCCTCGCCAGATCCAACGAGGGCAAGCCTCGCCCTTGCCTGATGTTGGCGAGGGCAGCCCTCACTTGGGCTGGGTGGGCGAGGGTTGGCGTCGGGCGAGGGTGACCCTCGCCTGGGCTCCTCGCCCACCCTCGCCTGCCCAGCCCAGGCGAGGGCGGCCCTCGCCTGCCCAGCCCAGGCGAGGGCGGCCCTCGCCCAACGCCGGTGAAGGCAGCCTTCGCCTGAGGCCGGCGACCTTCGCCGGCCCCAGCTATGGCCGACAGAGGGAAGAGAGGAAAAAAAAAAATAGAAAATGAAAAGGAAAAGAAAAAAATAGAAAAAGGAAAAAAAGAAAAAAAATTATAAATAAAAAGACGAAACTACCCTTATTCCGGTCGCCAGAACAGTAATGTGCTCACCGGCTGGTGAGCATTTGATCGGCCGGTGAACTCAGGCCCTTACTTGAAACTAATTAGGCACTTCGGATCCTTATTTGAAACTGATTGGACACTTCAGGCATTTATTGGATACTATATCCACTTGGGGTCTTTTTTTGAGAAAAAGACCCTACTTGGGGTCTTTAATTAGAATTTTCCCCAAATTATATTAATGCCACGAAAAACTACAAATTGATATACTTGTAACAAACGAAGGGTACCCTAAACTGGTACACTCGTCAACTGCCTCGTATTATCAAACTCAGTAATTTGACGATAAATTAGTCATGGGCATACCCGTTTGGAATTTTTGATAGTTTCGAAATTAGTTTGGGATAAATTTATCTCATATGTACAGTTTAGAGTTTTTCGTTCTATTAACCCTTATTATCATCTCATCTCTTGTGGTCATTTCCACATCAAACGACGCAGTTTCTTATAGGGAGAGACGAGTTTAAACGGCGCCGTTTTGTGGATCTGCCGATGGGCACAAAATGCTAAAACAAATGGAGATTGGCCTAACGACGACACGGCACAGCGATCCCAGCCCTCAAAGACCCAATCCAACGGTCAGGACTACGTTCAAGGACTGAAGGGTGCCGAATTCTCCATTTTGCCCTCCAAAAGCTACTCAATTCCCTCCTCCTCCTCCTCCTCCTCGACGTTGCGCTCTGTTTTAACACCGAGGAAATTACAAACAGACCAGATCTACAGAGAGAGAACTGCTTGCTCTTCTTCTTCTTCTTCTTCTTCTTCTACTGTATCAACATGCGATGCAAGCTCATCTAGGGTTTCTGGCGTTTCCGATTCTGCTCGATCTTCGCGTATACGTGTGCTGATCGCCGAGGTAAATCTCCATGGCCGACGCGCGAATCTCGTTTGTCTGGTCCAATGCTGCCGTAGGCGTTAGATCTCTTTGAATTCCGTGCGTTAGGCTTCGCTTGATTGTGCGTTCGCTCGTCGTCTCCCGTAAAGTTTCTATTGTCGAGATTTTGCGTGGTTCGTTTGATTTCTCGAGTTGGCTGAAGGGACATGGCGGGTTTTTTGAATAAGGGCTTGCGTTGATTTGGGTCTTGCTTGATTTGATCTGGTTTGCGCTTGGCGTGTTCTGGTCTGCTGTGACTGCCGCAGTTGGTAATTTTGGCGTGGCTGCGGTTGGTGGACCGGGCGGAGCTTTCAGTAATTGGAGAGGATGTTGACGAAGTTCGAGACGAAGAGTAATAGGGTGAAGGGGCTCAGTTTCCACAGTAAGAGACCGTGGATCCTTGCGTCTCTCCACAGTGGCGTGATCCAGCTATGGGATTACCGCATGGGGACTCTGATCGATCGGTTCGACGAACATGATGGCCCTGTCCGTGGGGTGCATTTCCACAAGTCTCAACCTCTTTTTGTGTCTGGAGGTATTGTTTTATTCAGTTATATGATATGGATCTACTTACATGAAATCAAATGCATCTTCCGTGTTAGCTGCTGTTTGGCAGTGTGTTGTGATCCTAATTGCAAAGTATGTGAGTTGGATCCCACATCGATGGTATGGGACTTCGAAAAGCTCCTGCATTAGCTTTTGAGTTGTGGTTCTCCTGAGGTCCATATCAATTGATATCATCCTCCTGAAGTCCATATCAATTGGCAATAGAGCCATCGGCCATCTCTCCCAGTTGCAATTAAATGTGGCAAAATGGGTCTACTAGATCCACTCATACTACTGCATTTGGGTTTAAAATGGGTCATTTAACTTTATGAATGGCTTTAAATGAGCCATAAGAAACAAAAACCAACCAAAATTGGGTCTGAATGGGTTAGACTTGCTAGCTACATTGAAACAGTCTAAACTGTACCACCGGTTCACCAAGCATCAAGAATACATCACAAAGCAGTTCACCCAATGAAAGTTTTATTTATTTATTTTTGGAAGGATTTCTTAGAATCTTAGTGCTAAGCGATCAATAATCTTCCAATTAGCACATGCGTTTTTCAGTATTTGTGATGTCACTTAAAAGTAATAAGCATTGAAATTTATTCCCTTATTTTGGTTTCTGCTAGCATAATTAAATTATATATTGTCATTTTCTAGACGTACACTGAAAGGGAAAATTTTAAGTTTAGTTTTTTCTTTTGCATTTTGCTCTTTGTCCAACAACTGATTGAGCCAAAAGTAGAAATCAGAGGAAGAGTGGTCCATTTAAAATGCACTTAATTCCAATCACAATTTAGAATGTAGTGAAACATGTATTTTACTTGATATTGCAACATAGTGGATATGGTATCTATGTCCTTATTTATTATGTCGATCCCGTAATTGTGTACTCAATATCTAGTTCATTTTCCTCACAATTTAGTGAAGCTTTTTCATGCCAAACCAATCGAGCCCACTTATTTGATAGGTCTAGTTGTATTGAGTGGCAGGAGTGGTGATGTCGGTATTGTAGTGTTTGCCCAGGACTAGCAAATGGCTATTCAAGCCAGCTTGTTGGGGGTGCGGGGACTGTGGAGCATGGTGGATTGTTAGGATCCTAATTGCAAGGCATGGAACTTGGATCCCTCATAGATCTTATGGGACTTCAATGTGTGGTTTATATGGCCTCAGGCTCTCCCACCTCAATAGTTAGCTTTTGGGTTGTGGTTCTCCTAAGGTCCATATCAATGTGGTTCCATGTTGATCTGAAAGATAACTGTCCTGCAGAGTAAGTTAAAAGTCGATTAGTTTCTCGTGTAGCTTAGGTTCGATCTCCAGTTCCTTGTTATTGTTCATTCCACAGGGATATTAATAAAAAAAAGAATTTAATTCAGCAGGGATATGACTTATATGCATGGAAAGATAGGAGAGGGAATTTTTCAGTTAATGGTATGTGGAGGATGGCAATCTCTCTCTCTCTCTCTCTCTGGTTTTCTAAATCGATAATCACAGATTCTAGATAAAATTGCTGGTTCTCACTTTCTTATCAAATTGACTTTAGAAGGTGTTACTCTAGCAATTTACTGTTTGGATCTGATATTGCCTTCATAGATCCCTACAATTTAAAATGACAGTCAATGTTCCAACATTTTTCATACAATGCGCAATATATGCAGTTATTTAATAATGTCTTAGAAAAACAGTTCGTTGTGTAGAAAGCAATATATCCTGTATTGGAATCTGTATAATCCTGAAGATCGTTTGGGTAGCAAGCCCTATAATCAGAATGTATATTCTTGTAAAAGAATTTGCATAATCATGTCAAGTCCAAACCAAGTTCCATGTATTAGTAACTTTTCAGACAAACTGAGTTTTATGCTCGTGTTTTTTCCCCATGTTCTAGAGCGAGCCATTCTCTTGGAAGTCTTGGTCCAAAAACCAATGTGTCAATACATTGAGATTATTGTCATCTAATTGCGGATTTTTCCAAAATTTTCTCACTTCCTCCCTGTAGCATCTGCAGTATAGTTGGACTGATCTTATATAGGTTAGATTTGCTATTGAACATGACCTTTGTCCTCTATTAGCAAGTTGCCTGATAGATTCTTCATTTACTGAAGACTCGATCAATGGTCTAAAGAGCCAGATTGCTGTGGCCCTGGTGTTTACAGTAAAAAGGGGACGGCTTATTGTTTTTCCCCTACCAAGACAAACAGCATTCAGCAAGGCACACACTTTTTGCGCGGAAGCAATCTGGGCAAATTGCTTAGTCCCTCACTTGTCGACTTCAACTGTTTTTAGAAACTTAACACTTGATATATCTTTCAAAAATACGCCCTCATCCATTTAAATTATTCAGCCATGCTCAAGGGTTGACTAAGCAAATTTGGGCGAAAGCATTTTTTGTTTTGTTTTAGAGTCTGAAGTTTCTCACTACTCTAGTCTGCAACACTAGTGCTCTTACTCCCCTTCAATTTACCCTTTGATTTGACATAGTTTTAATGGTTGAGATTTTGTATTGCTGCTTCCTTTTTTTTTTGTCATTGCATGTTGATTAGCTTGGGCATGCTGGTCCTCCCCTCCCTACTCTCTTTTTTGGGCTTCTGGCCTGGTGCATTTTAGTATGCTAGGGCCTTAGGTGCTTCTTTCATCTTTAAGTACACTGGACTGGAGTCTTTTGAAGATGTGCTCTGGTGTATAATAAAGTTTTCCGTGGATAATTACTATGTTGTATACTACTTTTTCTTAGAGTAACTATCATGGTGTGTACAACAATGAACATAAATTTCTTGCCATTTTACAGGAGACGATTACAAAATTAAAGTTTGGAACTACAAGACATGCAGGTGTCTTTTCACCCTTCTAGGACATCTTGATTACATCCGTACTGTGCAGTTCCATCATGAGCATCCATGGATAGTGAGTGCCAGCGATGATCAGACTATTCGCATATGGAACTGGCAGTCTCGAACTTGCATATCTGTCTTGACTGGTCACAATCATTATGTCATGTGTGCTTCATTCCACCCAAAAGAGGACCTTGTCGTGTCAGCTTCCCTTGATCAGACCGTGCGTGTATGGGATATCAGTGCCTTAAAAAAGAAGACAGCTTCCCCTGGTGATGACTTGTTGCGGCTGAGTCAGATGAATACAGACTTATTTGGTGGTGTGGATGCTGTTGTGAAGTATGTCTTGGAAGGCCATGATCGAGGCGTCAACTGGGCTGCATTTCATCCCACCCTTCCCCTAATTGTCTCTGGAGCAGATGATCGCCAAGTAAAGTTATGGCGCATGAATGGTATTTGTTCCAAAGACATTGGTTTCTCTCTAAAGTCATCCCTTGCAATGAATTTTAAGAATCTGCAGAATGGATACTTGATTATGGTGTAGGCTTAAATGCAGTAAATTGTGAGAGACATAACACGTTTTTTCGAATAATATGCACGTAGGCTAGAGTGATATGATGGAGGTGCTTCTTTTAGCTCCTTTTTGGATTTCCTACCAAAAAAAAGTAAATGGATTGTTATGTAAAATATGATTAAGGGTTTACTTTTGATGTTAATTATTAAAAATTAAGTTTGATTTCATACTTTAAGAGTCAAAATAAAAACCAAAAGCTAATCCCAAAACACCTAGTTGTGATCATGCAATCATTTTTGCATACTATTTGTTAGAAGAACTTTGAAATTTCTTAATTTATGAATCATAAGATTCAATTGAGTTAACTCTGAAGTGATGTACATGTTTGTCTCCAGATACAAAGGCTTGGGAAGTGGACACTCTCAGAGGGCATATGAACAACGTGTCTTGTGTTATGTTCCATGCAAAACAAGACATAATTGTATCCAATTCGGAAGACAAAAGTATCCGCGTTTGGGATGCGACAAAGAGAACTGGAATTCAAACTTTTCGACGGGAGCATGACCGTTTCTGGGTACTTGGTTCTCATCCTGAGATGAATCTTTTGGCAGCGGGTCATGACAGTGGCATGATAGTGTTTAAGTTGGAGAGAGAGCGACCTGCCTTTGCTGCGAGCAATGATATGCTGTTTTACACAAAAGAGCGTTTCTTGCGCTTTTATGAGTTTTCTAGTCAACGGGACACCCAGGTTATTCCTATTCGACGCCCTGGAACTACCAGCCTCAACCAAAGTCCAAAGACGCTCTCTTACAGTCCTACAGAAAATGCTGTTCTTATTTGCTCTGATGTGGATGGAGGATCTTATGAACTGTATGTCATACCGAAAGATAGTGCTGGGAGGGGTGACAGTGTTCAAGAGGCAAAGAGAGGTGCTGGGGGATCTGCTGTTTTCGTGGCTCGAAATAGGTTTGCAGTGCTTGACAAAAGTAGTAATCAAGTATTGGTCAAGAATCTAAAGAATGAAGTTGTTAAGAAGAGTGGGCTTCCTTTTGCTGCGGATGCAATTTTTTATGCTGGAACAGGTAACTTGCTGTGCAGGGCAGAAGACAGAGTCTACATATTTGATCTGCAGCAGAGGTTGGTTCTTGGTGAGCTGCAAACCCCCTTTATCAAATATGTTGTGTGGTCAAATGACATGGAAAGTGTTGCCTTGCTAAGTAAACACGCAATTCTTATTGCTAGCAAGAGCCTTGTCCACAAATGCACTATCCATGAGACCATTCGTGTAAAGAGTGGAGCCTGGGATGACAATGGGGTATTTGTCTATACTACATTGAACCACATTAAGTACTGCCTCCCCAATGGTGATACTGGAATAATTAGAACTCTTGATGTGCCTATCTACATTACTAAGGTTACAGGGAATACAATATTTTGTTTGGATCGTGATGGAAAGAGCAGAGCTATAGTTATTGATGCAACTGAGTATATTTTCAAGTTGTCTTTGCTGAAGAAGAGATATGATCATGTCATGAGCATGATAAAGAACTCTCAACTCTGTGGGCAGGCTATGATTGCATATCTGCAGCAAAAGGGGTTTCCTGAAGTGGCTCTTCATTTTGTAAAGGACGAGAGGACACGGTTCAATTTGGCTCTAGAGAGTGGCAACATCCAAATTGCAGTTGCCTCAGCTAAGGAAATTGATGAGAAGGATCATTGGTACAGATTGGGGGTTGAGGCTCTTCGCCAAGGAAATGCCGGCATTGTTGAGTATGCTTATCAGAGGACTAAGAACTTTGAGAGGCTTTCTTTCCTTTATCTTATAACTGGAAACATAGACAAATTGACCAAAATGCTGAAAATCGCTGAAGTGAAGAATGATGTTATGGGCCAATTTCATAATGCTTTGTACTTGGGAGATGTTCGAGAGCGTGTTAAGATATTAGAGAATGCTGGGCACTTGCATCTTGCTTATACAGCCGCTTCAGTGCATGGGTTACAGGATGTAGCTGGAAGGCTAGCAGCTGAATTGGGAGATTCTATTCCTTCTTTGCCAGATGGGAAGCAACCTTCCCTTGTGATGCCCCCAATGCCGGTAATGTCCGGTGGTGATTGGCCTCTTTTGAGAGTTATGAAAGGCATATTTGAAGGTGGGTTGGATAATGTCGGCAAGGGTACTGCAGATGAAGATGAAGAGGATGTTGAAGGTGATTGGGGAGAGGAACTGGAAATGGTTGATGCGAATGGTTTACCCAATGGAGATGTGACAGCTATTATGGAGGATGGTGAAGCTGGTGAAGAAAACGAGGAAGAGGGAGGCTGGGACCTTGAAGATTTGGAGCTTCCTCCTGAGGCAGAAACCCCTAGGGCTTCTGTCAGTTCTCGCCAAACTGTTTTTGTTGCCCCAACTCTGGGCATGCCAGTAAGTCAAATATGGATCCAGAAATCGTCTCTTGCTGCTGAACATGCAGCTGCTGGTAATTTTGAAACAGCGATGAGGTTGCTGAACAGGCAACTTGGAATTCGTAATTTTACTCCCCTGCGATCCATGTTCCTTGATCTTCACAGTAGCAGCCATACCTATCTACGTGCCTTCTCTTCTGCTCCAGTGATATCTCTGGCTGTTGAGCGTGGTTGGAGTGATTCTGCAACCCCTAATGTTCGGGGTCCACCAGCAGTTATTTTCAGTTTTTCTCAACTGGAAGAGAAGCTCAGGGCTGGTTATCGCGCCACAACAGCAGGGAAATTTACTGAGGCTCTGAGGTTCTTCCTCAGTGTTCTTCACACCATTCCGCTTATTGTGGTGGAATCAAGAAGGGAAGTTGATGAAGTTAAGGAGCTGATCGTCATAGTCAAAGAGTATGTCTTGGGTCTGCAAATGGAGGTCAGGAGGAGAGAAATTAAGGACAATCCTGTGCGCCAGCAGGAACTCGCAGCCTACTTCACTCACTGCAATCTTCAAGTGCCTCACTTGAGGCTGGCCTTGCTGAATGCAATTAATGTATGCTACAGGGCGAGAAACCTTGCTACAGCAGCAAACTTTGCCCGGCGACTTCTAGAGACCAATCCCACCATTGAAAACCAAGCAAAGACGGCAAGGCAAGTTCTGCAGGCGGCTGAGAGGAATATGACAGACGTTGCCGAGCTAAATTATGATTTTAGAAACCCATTTGTGGTATGTGGGGCTACCTATGTGCCAATATACCGAGGACAGAAGCATGTCTCCTGCCCATTCTGCAGCTCCCAGTTTGTGCCTAGCCAGGAAGGACAGCTTTGTAGTGTGTGTGATCTTGCTGTGGTTGGGGCAGATGCTTCAGGATTACTCTGTTCCCCATCTCAGGTACGATGATCTGTCTATGTAACCAAGGAACACACTTCCAACCTTCTTTTTTTGCGGTGCGACCTGTAGTTGCACGTGTTGGCTCATTGACATGTGCAGCAGTTAAGAGTTAAGAAATTACATGTCAAATCTTATGGTGAATTGGTTGTTGTCTCCTATATCATCATTTAGTTTTCCTTTAAGTAGATGTTAAGATTTTTATTTTAATAACCATAATTTTGAATTTTGTGATGGGCTATTAGATGTTTATAGTATGGCCTTGACGCTGGATGGGAACTAGCAAGTAGCATGTCAGTGACGGCATTGCATTTTACACATTTGCGTTAATCCAATTGATGGGTCAGGAGTTTTGGTTTTGATACTGATTGGCTGTGGGACAGTGCTGTGAAATCTTATTTACCTGTACCATTTCTAAGTTTTCCTTTTCTGTGAGTCTGTTCTGCATATCATTTCAAAATTTTTTATTTTGAAACATTTTTGCAGATCGTCTTATTTTTGGCTCGTCTGGCCGCATAAAAATGGAATTTACAGTTGTTTTCATCCATCATATGTGTGATTTAGAAACTGGGGTGGAGTGCAGTACCAAAAAACATATAAACCAAAAGCTGACTCAGATTTTGATTGGCGTCGATCGTTTTTGGTTCCATGAGATAAATTTTACGTACTGGATTGTTGCTGAGAATCACTTACTGATATGGACTTCTAGGCAGCCAATGGTGCTTCTTTACGGGATTCTGGATTTTGTTAAATCACAACTGTCCCGTCTTTTGGATGCCAAAATTTGTGATGTTGCTCCATCTTATATTTGTCAAAACCATATTTCCTTCCAGTCTGGCCCAAATAAATTAAATAAAAAGAACAAAAAATGTATACCCTAGATCTAGGAACTAGAGTCGAACAAAGATTATCTTCACTACGGTTGTTGCATCTTTAAGGCGGCCACCTTCGCGGTGGTTGCCTCTATTGCTGTGTTGTGGTGATCCCACCGCAATAGAAACATCACAGAAGGAGTGAAGGCGAGAGGTAGAAAAGAGAGAATTAGGCGACTAATGTGACCACCACAAGGTGGTCTCTGTCGTGTGGGGAGTGCATCTTCTCCCCAGGGTTGTCTCCTGAGAGTCGCAGGTGCCGCCGGAGGTTGCGATGGCGGCATCTCTAAGATGGAACAATCGTTCCTTTCCAATTTTTCTTTGAAAACTCTTCTTATCAGATGCGAGTGGGATAAATTTACCCCCACCCAAGGCTGACAGGTTATTTTGGATTATATTTGAAATACTGATTTACACCTTTCGAAGGGTGTCACCACATTTTGCCCTATCCCATATAGAAGGAAAAGCTATATTAAAGCCATGTACGAGGATCCCCGCTAAGCATCAAGCATCCATGGTTGAATGGGTCCAATATTTCGATAATTTCAGAGGTTGGTCCTGAGGGACAGAGGAGGCTAGGTTAGCCGAAAGATGGGACAAAATGACCTTATATGCTCTTTTAGGAATTCCTACCCACCTATAAACGAGGGGAAACAAGTAAGAGAGTATTATTGTGCACCGGAAATATCTCATAGCAAGAATGCCTAGAGACCTAATGTGGCAGTTTCCCATCATAGGGCCCTTACCGCTCAACCTAAGAGTGGACAGACCCTATTTCATGGTCACGTTTTTTTCCGGCTAAGTTATGGGAAAACCTTTCTTCTGTTACATGAATCAGTTTATTTAGGGGTTACTTGTGACTGATTTCGAGCGTGTGATGTGTTATATCTTGGGGGACAAGGACGAAGTATGCATTTTTACTCTTTGCCCGAAAGGACACTGAATGCATTCAACCACCCGACAGACAAACGTGTAGTGGTAAAACAACTCCTTGAAGTCTTAAGGTATTTCGACCCAAAAAAAAAAAGTCTTAAGGTATTTATTTATTTTGGGTTAATTACACTTTGCTAGCATTTCAAAACGGTACTTATACGATGAGGGAGATCCATTATGGTTCTTGTAGTGTTCAAAGTTGTTTATATTCGTCTTAGATGTTTCAAATTGTTAAAGCCGTAATTGACGTTAAGAATCCGAAATGCATGAAAAAAATATGCATATATTATAATGTAAACCTCCGCTAACATGCCTTTGATACCAACATCCTCCCAAATATACGATGAATCCTTATTTTACAATTGACTTATCATATCAGCCTGTCCTAACATGACTTCGATGCTGAAATCTACTAGAATGGACGGTGAGATCTTATTTTAAAAATTACATTATATACTTAGCCTATCAGCTTTATTTAACAATGGACGGTTGAGCGGCGATCGACCGTGCTCTCCGTTAGTTGTTTTTTTTTTTTTCCTGTTGAAGTAGTCTCCGTTAGTTGTGAGAGCGCCTCTTGACTGTGCTCAATGGAGGTCTTCTAAGCGAAAATGGAAGACAAGCTTGCTTTTCTCCGATGGAGTCCATATGAAATGACAAAGCGTGCTCTCGCTCTCTCTCTGTGAAACGAAACACTAAGGTGGGTTGAAGAGAGAGATTGGTTGGGTGGGCATTCGAGTTTTTTTCCCCAAAAAGCCACGGTGGTGCATTTTTGGTATTTTGCAGATGGTCAGATTTTCATTTTGCTTTATCCAATTATACTATGTCGCCACAGGTCAAGCATTGATTGGATCTGAATAGGGAAACGTGTGCCACGTTAGCCGTTGACGTGTCGCTTTGATATCACCGGATATTTTCTTCTCAAGGTCTCTTTCTCCCGTTGAGTCGCTATGCAATTTGTTGGGGTCTTAGTTGTATCAATCGTTGGGTGATAACCCAACGAGACACCACTCTATCCAGCAGCGAGGAGAAGGAGCCACACCATCCTGCGCCGCCCCGCACGGGGCAGCTTTTCACAACACGGGGCGATATACCTGCACCTACTCCCACTCCTGTTCTTTTCTTATTACTTCGCCTCTTTCCCAAATATTTGCTTATATACGAAACCGAGGTTGGACAAATCCATATTAAGGGTGCGTGCGTTTGTTTGAGCGAAAGTATTTTTCGGGAATCCGTTTTCTGGACTTTGACCTGTTTGATTTGCCGAAAATGATAAGTCAATGAAAACGTTCATGTATAAAATTAGGAAAGTGAATCCCTTAATCTAAAAATGCGAAAATACTTTCCAATATTGCTCATCTTGAATTTGTTAATATTTATTTTTTCTTTTCTTTCTTTCTTTCTCTTTTTCTTATTAAATATTTTTTTTTTAAATATAATTTTTAATCATTTTTTATTTTAAAAAAATTATTTTTATTATTTTCTTTTTTCTTTTATTGTTCTTTTTTAGAAAATTAGATTTTTTTAAATAATAAAAATAAAAATTATTAAAAAATTTTGATTTTTTTTTGCCTAAGATGAAATCATGAGATTGAAATTATTTTTTAATGAAATCCAAATATTGAAAAACGATTTTGATCATATATCACTGAAGAAAGGAAAACTAATAGCATTCCCAGAAAATGTTTTCCGGGAAATTATTTTCCTTTATCATTGAGTTTTCCACGAAACAAACGCACCATAAACTTCATTTGTTTTGCGAAAATAAATGATTTGAAAAATATTTTTCTAAAAATGATTGTTTATATCGCTTGAAAGGATTAATAAATGAAAATTGTTTTCATTACCGACAACAATTTATGTCTAAATATTTTCATAGATGATAAAATATTTTTTGTTTATTTATTTTTGTAAGTAATAGAAAAATATTATTTTTAAGGAAATATTTTTTAAATTATTTATCTTTTGTGAAACATTGTCATCCTCAGTAAAAAAAAAAAAAAACCAGCCCAAAAGATAAATGTCCACGGCCCTTCGCAAAATTGTTCCCAATTTATTTTTGACAATATTCTCTCTCTCTCTCTCTCTCTCTCTCTGTTGTGAGTGCATGTATGAGCGCGTCCGTCGGACGGGAGCGACGACGTCGCAGATCGGCGGCAGTGAGCCGTTGCCTAATCTCCCTCAGGTTTTCACTCGTACTTGCGTTTTTTTCCCTCATTCAGCGATTTCTAGTTCGCCGGACCGATTCAGGACTTGTCTCGTTCTTATCGGATTCGTCGATTCAGCTCGCGTCTCTGTGCCCTTGGTTTTCGTGAATCTGTTGCCGATCCTCTTCTGTTCCTCTTCTTCTTTGGGGGGTCGATTTTGGTTTTTGCTGTTTGGGTAGAGAAATTCTGAGCCGCGTTTCCGCACGGTGTGATTTACTCGGTTTGGGTGGCATCTGTTTCGTCGTAAATTGTCAAGATTCTTTCATATCTTGAGGCCCTGGATGCTAAAATGAAAACCCAAGTGCGGGGTCAGGTTATGGGCTCAAAAGACTGTGTTGTGATAGTGGCAGTCAGTCGAAGCTCCAAAATGTGTTCTTGGGTTTTAATCTTGTCAAGGGCATGTTTCATTTCTCCTTCATGGTGTCATATGATCCCGCAGGTTAACTTGAGAGGACTTATGTGAACCAAGTTTCGATCTTGAATTAGCAAAAGGAGGCACAGGCCACTTCTTGTAGATTATGGCTCTTGGCTCTGTTGTAGCTGCTGTTACTGCTCTTGCTCTTCTGATACTGATCCGGTTTCTATACATTGTGCTTCGGAGTGGAAAGTCGCTTCACGGGAAATCCCAAAAGCCCTATAGTACCCTCGTTATCTTAGGCTCAGGTAAGCTCGTAGATGATGTACTCGTTAGCTTCTTTCTGTATTTCATTTGCAGTGAATGCGTCCTGGTTTAATCATGTGTGTGCATCGACTTTTGCAGGGGGTCATACGGCTGAGATGTTGAATCTCTTGTCTGTGTTGCAGAAAGATCGATTTGCGCCTAGATTCTATGTTGCAGCTGCCACTGATACTATGAGTCTTCAAAAAGCTCGCATGATGGAGGACTCCTTGGTTGATGCGGTAAAGCACTTATGCTTATACTTTAATGATACAGTAAGTCATTTCTGACTTTATGCTTGTGGTGCTTTTCTATTGTTGTCATTTTTGTTCTTGTAGAACTGCAATTACATCATTATTCTTTCAAAAGATGCTTCAAAGATATGGTTTACATGAATGGATTCACATTAAATTTGAAATTTTGATTGTGGCGGGACCTCCTTCCATATGGAAAAGGAATATTGTGTAACGACCCGGTCCGACGAGGGCGGGGAGTGGTCGCCGGGGCCAGAGGGCCTGGACAAGGAGCGGCTCCTGGCAGGCTTCTAGGATGGCAAGGGGGGTATGTCTCTTGTCCCACATCGCCTAGGGGGGGAGTCCTGGGCTAGTTTATAAGGGCTTGGGAAGCCTTAACTTGCAAGAGGCCTTTTCTGGGGGTAGTATGGGCTGCCCTCGGAGGAACAAAACCGTGAGGACTTAGTGTCCAAAGCGGACAATATCTTGCGAGTGGGACCCAGGTCGTTACAAATGGTATCAGAGCCGACTCCTGACCGCGTGTGGGGCCATAGCGGGGACGCTGTGCTTAAAGGGGGGGAGAATGTAACGACCCGGTCCAACGAGGGCGGGGAGTGGTCGCTTGGGCCAGAGGGCCTGGACAAGGAGCGGCTCCTGGCAGGCTTCTAGGATGGCAAGGGGGGCATGTCTCTTGTCCCACATCGCCTAGGGGGGAGTCCTGGGCTAGTTTATAAGGGCTTGGGAAGCCTTAACTTGCAAGAGGCCTTTTCTGGGGGTAGTATGGGCTGCCCTCAGAGGAACAAAACCGTGAGGACTTAGTGTCCAAAGCGGACAATATCTTGCGAGTGGGACCCAGGTCGTTACATATTGGATGAGGTCATTTGTAGGTCATAATAGAGAATTGGCATTGGTAATGGTTGTGAAGGTGTATATACTGGAAAGGATAAGATTGTTGAGGAGAGTAGAAACCAATTTGAGCTGCAGATGTGAAAAGTACTAGTCATGTGTACAGACGCGTCACTTGTAATTGAATCAACTACTGGTTGTGTGTTTGTAATTACATTTTTTGCATATCAGATATCTTACTTCAGTTGTCTGTGGAAAGTACTGGAAGAGGGTCTTATGTGAAGTGAGTGGCAGAGTAATCCATTGACTGCATTTGATTCATGTTCGTGCAAATAAGGATCAAAACTTTAGATATCAAAGCAGTCAATAGTGTCCTCACAATAGAGCATAAAATATAACATTGTCGCCGAAGTGTTAGAGAATCCTGTAGCTAAAGATTGCTCTGTAAACTGTTTTACAGCCCCAGTCAAATATGTAGCCTATTATGACTTTTTGACTCCTGCAATGACACGCTCCTGTATAACCTGATTTCATAGAGCGAGGCAATCTTACACTGAACCACTCCATGCCAACAAATTATATGAGTTCAATCTGAGTAAATTATAATGAAGTGGTCATTGGCCTGGCTTTCTGAGGGTTCAATCATCTTTTATGGGAAACAATAAGGCAAAGATTTATTAATGAGATAGATAAAAGAAAGCGTGGTGCTCAACTTGCTAGTTAGATAGTGCGAAATCCAGTTTTGCTTAAATAACCTTTGGGAACTACAGTGCATTTGAGATTTCTTCTTCCATTCTGTTCTTTTACATGTGCAGGGTCTATAGCACGCCTGGCTCAGTGTCATCATCTTTGCATCATGACTCATTATGCTTTTAACAAACATGCAGAATACTCCTTTTACAAGATGTGATCCTCCATGGGTTCATTTGGTAGATTTGGGGTGCCAATATTGCAGTTATCACTAGTTTAGTTGGACAAAACACACACACTCATACACAACAAGGACATGACGCTAAATTTAGGAAAGCTTGTGGCTTCCAGTAGTGCAGTTTTCTTTCGCTGGCTCAGCTGGAGCCATGTCGTTCCTTCATCCTGTCTTTTGTTAATTGCAGCTGACATGCATAATATACCACAACTTATTGAGAAATCTCTTGAATGTCTAGGCTGGGGTCAAGGTAGGGGAAACTGCAAAGTACATGCAGATATACCGAAGCAGAGAGGTTGGTCAATCGTATGTAACTTCTGTTTGGACGACTTTACTTGCCACTGCTCATGCACTATATATCATGATTCAACTCAGACCAGAAGTGGTAATTTCTTCCTATAAAGTTTAATATCTCTCGTTGTTTTTAAAAACTGCTTTACTCACTTGACTGATAACTCACATTGGAAATGCAGATCCTCTGTAATGGCCCAGGGACATGCATTCCACTTTGCATTATTGCCTTTGTGTTCAAGGTTTAGAAGCTTGCCCTCTCTCTCTCTCTCTCTCTCTCTCACAAACACACACACACACAATAATACGCACACCCACATTCAGTTCTTTCGTTTTCGATGTATTTGTCGATGAATTAATACTTGACCAGTTTGCCATAAGCACTGAAAGACGGTTGAAACTGTGGCAGGTTCTGGGAATTAGATGGTCGTCCATATTTTACGTGGAGAGCATAGCTAGAGTTAGAAGACTGTCTCTAAGTGGCTTGCTTCTGTACAAATTGAGAGTAGCTGATCAGTTCTTCGTGCAATGGCCACAGTTGCATAGGAAATATCCTCGGGCTGAGTATGTCGGTTGTCTCATGTAGGTGATTAAGGTTTTTTGTTTTACACATGAGGAGAATCATAGGTTTCATTCAAAGCAACAGTTATGAGGTGGGGGCGGCATAAATATAGACCCAACAGTTTTCCTGCTCAGAAATAAGATGCGTTGAAAGATTTTATAGGAAGCTCACAGAAAATGATGCATTTGGTACCTCTTGCTTTCAAGAGGATGTATTTGGCTCGACATCTCACGAGAAAAGGGTATGGTAAGTATTGGAACAGCGTGAAGGCTATAGCTATAAGTACATGGATATCAATATTTTGTGTCGATGTGGTGAACATTGTGCGTGCTTTTTCGTTTTAAATTTGCACGGTAGTCTAGCGAAAAAATGGTTTTTGATAGTATGGATTTGTTTAAGTCCAATCCAAATCCAATCTTTTTGATTACTTGCCTCATTCTCTAGATGATTTTCATTATCTAATCTGATGAGTGAAGTTCGGGTACGAACAGTAACTTCCAATTGGGTTACTTTCTCTATGATTCTCGTGACTCTTAATAGTTAATTCTTCTGCTGGACAGTATCCATTTGTGCATCATAGATGTATTGTAAATAGGTATCTATGTATTAACTTCTTTCTTTTTTGGGCTGATGGATAGTCGATTTGCTGTGTGCATCCTCAATCATGCATAATTACTGATATTGTTTAATGTACGAGATGATGATGAAAGTCGAACAAAGGTTGCGTAACTTTCACAGCACATGCTGGCGATACCTTTCAATCACTTACGACTACCTCTTGTTGAAAAACCTCTTAACCAAACTTTAGCACTGTCGCTGCAAACAATGTTAATTCAGCTTTCCTTATTATCAATTGGTTATGATCATGCTTCTTGCTATTACGTATTATATTGTCAGATATAGCGAGTAAAGTATATTTGATATGTTTGTGCTTATTCGGGGCGGGTCACTACCTTCGTCGGTATTCCCCGTATTAATTAGCACAAATCCAGACTCCCGAGATATAAATAAATGTAAACATTGCTAAGTAATGTCTCTAGATTTCTTGATAACTTTCCATTAACTATCACTGAATTCGTTTGATACCTTGTAACTCATTCCATGTATATATATCACATTGTATCTCATTATGCTCATAGCATCATTAGCATCATTATTGGGGGAAATTGGCTAATCAGTCCTAAATCTATTGTATCATGCCAATTCAGTTTTAAATTTTTTAATTTAGTTCTAAATCTTTGTGCGAGTTTTGAAGGGAAAATTATCAAAAAAAGTTTTGAACTTTTTAATTTGGTCATATAAATATTTTGATAATTTATCAATATAGTTCTTCTGGCCAAAAAATCGCTGACGTGGATGTCGGCAGTCCTACGTGGCTCAATCGGCATGCAAAAATTGTAAGTATTTTCTGAATTTTTTCCTATTTCCCTCCGTTGGTCGCTAGGGAAGTTGGCCAGCACCAGTGAGGATCACGATGCCCTTGTCGCCCTCTAGCGAGGCTAACGCGCACCAGAGGCGGGCAAGGGTTTGGCGAGCCCTCATAAGATTGGGTGAAGCTGATACTTGCTATAAGAGACCCTTGTCGAATTAGGTGAGGCCAGACACCAACGAGGCAACTAGCGGAGGGAAATAGGGAAAAAAAAATTCATAAAATTTAAAAGGATTGTAAAAATTATCCACGTTAGCGCTAGTCATGCCACATAGGATGACCATAAACTATTTCTGGCTAAAATTTATCGAAAAGACTATATTGATGAATTATTAAAGTGTTTAAGATTAAATTGGCAAAATTGAAAGGTTTAAGACTTTATTGACTTCTGAACAATAAATGTAGGACTTTTTTTTTCGTAATTATCCCAAATTTCCAATATAATCCTTCCGACGGCTGAGGAGCCGAGGCTAGAGGACATAGCCGTATGTGCGATTATCCCGATGTTTTTCCTCAAGAATTGCCGGGATTGCCACCAGAAAGAGAAGTAGAATTTGTAATCGAGTTGGCACTTGGAACTGAGCCAATCTCGAAGGCACCTTATGGAATGTCGCTGTCGGAGTTGAAGGAATTAAAGGTGCAAATGCAAGAATTATTAGACAAAGGATTTATTCGTCCGAGTGCGTCCCCGTGGGGAGCGCCAGTTTTATTTGTGAGAAAGAAAGATGGATCGTTGAGGTTATATATCAACTACAGGCAGCTAAATCAGGTGACGATAAAAAATAAATATCCCCTGCCGAGGATTGATGATTTGTTTGATCAATTACAAGGAGCTTCGGTGTTCTCTAAAATTGATTTGAGAACGGGATATCATCAGTTGAGGATTAGGAAGGAGGATATACCGAAGACGGCATTTAGGACGAGATACGGACATTATGAATTTACGGTAATGCCGTTCGGATTGACGAACGCCCCTGCTGCCTTTATGGACTTAATGAATCGGGTGTTTAAGGAGTTTTTAGATAAATTCGTAATCGTTTTTATAGACGACATATTGGTGTACTCGAAGAGCCTAGAGGAGCATGAGTTTCACTTGAGTAAGGTGTTGCAGACTTTAAGAGAGAACGCACTGTATGCTTAGTTTAGCAAGTGCGAATTCTAGCTCAATCGAGTAGCATTTCTCGGACATGTGATCTCTGGGGAAGGAATCTCAGTAGATCCAGCGAAGATTGAAGCTGTAATGAAGTGGCCGAGACCGACGACGGTAACAGAGGTTCGAAGCTTTTTGGGTTTCACAGGATATTATCGTCGTTTCGTGGAAGGGTTTTCGGCAATAGCGACGTCGTTGACACAATTGTTGAAAAAGGAAACGAGATTTGAATGGACCGACAAATGTGAAAGGAGTTTTCAGGAATTGAAGCATAAATTGACAACGGCACCGGTGTTGACTATTCCATCAGGACCCGGAGGATATGAAATTTATAGTGATGCGTCGTTGAAAGGATTGGGGTGTGTACTCATGCAAAACGGACAAGTAGTGGCCTACGCGTCAAGGCAGTTAAGGTCGTATGAGTTGAATTACCCGACGCACGATTTGGAATTAGCCGCAATAGTATTCGCCCTTAAGATTTGGCGACATTATCTATGTTGAGAGAAATTTCAGATTTATACCGACCATCAGAGTCTCAAATATTTATTTTCTCATAAGGAACTTAATATGAGGCAGCGTCGGTGGATGGAGTTGTTAAAGGATTACGACTGTGATATATTATATCATCCCGGGAAAGCCAACCGGTAGCCGATGCATTGAGTCGGAAGTCAAGCATCGCACATTTGATGGTCAAGGAATGGGCTTTGTTGGAAAAAGTGCGAGACTCGGAGTTTAGATTCGAAGTAAGTCAAGTCTCGAGCTTGCTAGCCATGCTAAGGATTGAACCATAGATCCAGGCTAAGATTAAGACCTTTCAGTCTGCGGATCAGGAAATCCAAAAGATTCTAGAGATGGATGAGACCAAGAGAAAGCCGGACTTCTAGATATCCGAAGACGGGATACTGAAGTTCCGTGGTCGATTATGTGCGCCTGACGATGCGGAAATTAAGGAAGAGATTTTGTCAGAAGCGCATCGTAGTAGTTATAGTATCCACCCAGATAGTACCAAAATGTATTAGAATTTGAGGCAGTATTATTGGTGGAATGGTATGAAGGTAGACATGGCCAGACATGTGGCCAAATATCTAACGTGCTAGCAAGTGAAGTTACAACATTGTAAGCCTGGAGGATTATTGCGACCTTTGGAAATCCCAGAATGGAAATGAGAGCATATAATTATGGACTTTGTGATGGGATTACCAAGGAGCCAAAGAGGCCGTGATACTATTTGGGTGATTGTCGACGGATTGACCAAGTTGGCACACTTTTTGGCTAAGCGAAAAGACTTCGCATTAGATCGATATGCTGAGTTGTATGTGCAACAGATAATTCGTTTGCATGGGGTACCAGTGACGATTACCTCAGATCGTGATCCTAGGTTTACCGCCAAATTTTGGAAAAGTTTGCAGACGGCATTAGGATCAAAGCTGCAGTTCAGTATAGCTTACCATCCACAAACGGATGGCCAGTCTGAGAGGACGATTCAGACTTTAGAGGATATGCTTAGGGCATATGTATTGGATTTTCAGGGTAAGTGGGAAGACCAATTGCCCTTAGCAGAATTCGCGTATAATAATAGTTTTCAGCAGAGCATTGGAATGGCGCCCTTTGAAGCGCTATATGGCAGGGCTTGTAGAACGCCCTTGTGTTGGGACGAAGTAAGAGAAAGGATTATAACCGGGCCAGAGTTAGTTCAATAGTCAATTGCGGCCGTTAAGGTGATTCATGAGAGGCTGAAAATAGCTTAGAGCCGTCAAAAGAGTTATGCAGACAGAAGGCGAAGACCTTTGGAGTTTCAAGTAGGGGATCACGTATTTCTTAAGGTATCGCCCATGAGAGGACTATCGAGATTCAGTAAGAAAGGTAAGTTGAGTCCGAGGTACGTGGGACCTTTTGAGGTTCTAGAAAAGATTGGAGATTTAGCTTATCGCCTTGCACTTCCGCCAAATTTATCGCAAGTGCATAATATGTTCCACGTATCGATGTTAAGGAAATATGAACCAGACCCAACTCACGTGTTGAATTATGAGGAGATAGAGGTCGATGACAAGGTGTCATATGTTGAGAAACCCATAAGGATCGAAGATCGGAAAGAATGGATGCTAAGGAACAAGACGATCCCGATGGTCAAGGTGGATTGGGAACACCACAGGACCGAAGGCACGACGTGGGAAAGCGAAGAGCAAATACAACGTCAATACCCCCACTTGTTTGAGTAATTAGTGTGATTTGTAAATTTCGAGGACGAAATTTTTATAAGGAGGGAAGAGTTGTGACATTCTGAAATCTGACGCACTTGGGATTTATGAAATTAATGGTTTATGGACGTGCTTGTAGTCAGATCTCGCCTGGAATTGATCACTTCGGGAATACTAACCATTAGGGAAAGGCTAATTAGGGATTTAAATTCGCGTGACCAAAGAACTCGATCGCGAACCGACTTTTGACCATGAAAATCGTCGAGGTGACATTTTGAGCCACTGTAGGCCGATCCAAGGATAGTCAGGGATCAGTTCGCCACTGTCACATTAGTGGATCGCGGGTGATTCCGCTGGACCACGAAAGGAATTGACAAACGACCCTAAACCTATACCAAACGATCGTGCCCGTCGGATCTAGCTATCGACCCTCGCGATTAAGTGACAATCGAGGTTGGTACGTCCCGAGTAAATTTGAACGTGGCATGATTTAGTATCAGCCACGGGTCAGTAACGCGAATTTCCCCAAAAGCCACCCATTAGTATGAGATATACGCAAGTTACGTTATTTAGAACTTAGTCATTAATTAGAGACCGAGTTGGGCATTGGAAATTCAGAAAGTCACGACAGATCATTTGGACGATGTTGTCATTTGCCCGGGTAGCTTCGGATTTGTCCGAATCCTTCAGAAAAACTGAATTTTGGCGAGAAATGGAAAATGACAATTTTACCCCTGGAGA